TTGGTCCCATGAAAGCTCATTGGCATTCTCTTTATCTTCCTGAAACCAGAGGAATTTCCATGAAGATGTTAGATGTGCATTCATGTTGCAGGCTATTTAAGTTCCCTAGAGGCTTTTGTATATTTAAAGGAATCAATTAACAGTAAATGCCAATTTAAAAGTGATAGTATGTACAGAAGTAGCATACATATACACATCAAGTAGAATATTTTTCAACTATTATTCCAGAACTCATATTTGGGAATCAAATGATTGTTTACATTTTGCCTTGGGGAGTAAAAAGGGCTAGACTCCCCCTGCAGAAAGAAAATTATTTTAAAAGCCACTGTCAGCTTTCCAAGTGCCTTCCAAGAAGATTTCTACAGTACAAACTTGCTTTAGGCTGCATGCAGTCAAAAGCAAATTCACAATTTGAATAACATATCACTTAATAGCAGCACAAATTCTCCTTCACCATGCATAGCCCAGTGAATGTAGGTAGTGAGAAAAGTCTTATTCAATAAGGCCATTAGAATGATTCTTTCTATCTGCTATCCAGATAGAAAGAACTTTTGTTATTAACGAGTTATGGATAAAAAAAAAAAAAATAGACCTTGTTTTATAAGGCATTCTCCCTACTACTCCCTGAAACTCTTGTCTTTACATTCCTAGTATCATCCCAGCTCAGAGGTTATAAGTGAGACTAGTTCCTGGGTATTCAGCATTCTCTTCGGATTACATTAAGCCTACCAGCATTACAATAGTCAGTTGTTGGTTAGTTTAATACAAAAAACAAACAAGCACACTAGATGATTTCTCTATTCTGACAGAACTTGATAAGATTTTACATAGCATTCCTGAAGACTGAAAGAAAACCATACATTAACCAATCACTGAATGAAATCTTAACTGGATGTGCCTCTGCACCTGCAAAATTCTCATGTTCTAGAAGTTACATTTCAGGTACTTGACTTCAGTGAGCAGAACACGATAGCCACAGAAAGAGTATTTGACTATTGAAGACTTACCATTTCTGGCTTTGGAGATGCTGACAGCTTTGTTTTATCTTGTAGTTTATTGCCAGCTGCTTTCCTAGTTCTGCTACTGTATTAAGAAAAATTAAAGATTATCTTAAACAACACAAGAATACAATTCAGGCAGCAATCTACAAGTTGAACTCACACTGAAGCAATTCTGCTCAGCATGAACTCTGCCTCCAGGAAAGAGAAACGGTTAAGCAAGCACTGGTCATGGCACAGGCTGTAAGACATCTCCCACATCACAGGAAGCTGGCTGAGGCAGGGAAGAAAAGTTAACTGACCACATTCACTTCAGATATCATTCTTATGCTTAAGGTCAAGATACAAAAGGTCAAGTGTCCTACACGCTGCTCTTGAGGGAGGAATAGCCAAAGAAGCAGAAAGCAAGGAAAAGTAAAGTAGATCAAGCACTACAATAAGGCCACTAGTACAGTTAAAGTAGCCACTTCCTCCAATCCCTCTCTCCCAAAAAAGACAGCTTTCTACAACATGAAAGCACGTGCCTTTTCTTGCTACACAGAACAGGTATTTGATGGATTATATTTATTCTTGCAATTCATGTGCATTTTATATTCAAAGGTCACTCACTGTTCATCTAGATTTGTACCATCAAGACACTGTTCATCAGCGAACAGAAATAGGGAGCATGCCACTTCAAGTACATAAAGTGCTAAACCAGGCTTTCCATTTAGATAAGAATAAATGCCATGCTGAAGTTTCCTAATTGCAAAAACATTAAAATGGCAAATCCAAAACAAACTAGGATTACAGCTAGCATCTTCTGAACTCCTTTACAACACTGTTATCTCTAAAGAAGCCATTCTTGCTTATTGCCAGGTCCTTCATAATGAATATCCAAACTTTAGACAATAGCAGGAAAAGCATTTAAAATGAAGTAAATAACAAGAAGCATTAGTGATCAGTGGTAGGCATCCACAGTAAGTTATGTCTATCTTCTGTCCATCACAGTTTAATTTCTGTTATAATATAGTTGCTCTTAACTGAAAGTATTAAATTGATAACTACAAAACATAATGAGATTACATCAACTGTACTGTCAACATGTGTAACATAACCTGAGCAAAAAGAAGGGAAAAAAGTATTTGCAAAAGGAGGGCTGTAGAGGCAAACAGTGGCACCTGATATGAGAGTTTTGCAATTAAAGTACCCTCCCTTGCCTCAGTCTCCAGTGGAATGGGCAACACACTTAAATTACATCTATAAAGCAGTTGCATTTATTTAACACGAACTTTTAATAGTTGCTGTCAATAGAAGGATGTACAAAAGCCCACATGGTCACTACTCATTGCACAGTTATCTTTTGACTGTGATTCTCCCAAGAACAGCCATTTACATCTTTCTAACCATCCATTTCCACAAGGAATATGAATAGCAGAAATTAATAATACCTGACTGATGTCTCATTTTCGTGAATGGGCATGCCAGAAAAGGTCTTTTTTCTTGATAGGTATTCTTCAACTTTTTGTCTTCTCTGTTCTGAGGGGTTTAAAAAAAATACATTACATTGTTACATTTTCAGTTAAACTAGTAATGCCATATTTTGCCTCTTATAAAAGAAATATAAATAGGAAAGCAACAAGACACTGTCGTACAGATCATTGATCAGACAATTCTTTAATGCTCACAAACATCTCATTCACTGAAGAAGTCTAGCTGCAAGGGGCAGGTCAATATAACTTTATAACTATACAAAATAACTGTTTTTCTGCACTAAGGTAACTGACTACTATCTGACTACTATCTGACTACTATCTGACTACTATCTG